CCAACTTATTATTTGATACCCTTAATAGAATACTGAATGTTACTGTGTGCTGCAGTTTAGCAGAAACGGTTTGCAGTCATTTCCAGCGATTTTCTGAGTCCTTTTCCAGTTATCACACTCCTTGTGTAGTATGGCATCTCAGATGGCATAGACGTGCTTAGATTACCACTGAGGAGTAATCACAGCCATACTCATACAGATTTTGTATGCTTACATATGCGTGTTATAACAGTTTATGCCAGCTAAGGATTCTTCTCTGTGGTATGGGATTAAGATATATAATGTGCTGTATCAGGTAGAGCTGAGATCATGGGAGCCAGAAAAGGGAGTGGCATTAAATTCAGTTGGAGAAAAACAAAAGTGCAGTTTTCACAAACTTAATTTTTTTTCCTGTTAGAAAAATAATGTATTTAGCAACTGAAAAATGACTTTTAAAATGACGCTATGAAGAGAAGATTGCTTTTCTTACCTGATTTGATTTTATTGCTGTGTTGTAGGTATGTGACTGGTGTAAGCACATAAGACACACAAAAGAGTATCTGGATTTTGGGGACGGGGAAAGAAGGCTTCAGTTCTGCAGTGCAAAATGTCTCAATCAGTACAAAATGGACATTTTCTACAAAGAGACACAGGCCAATCTTCCAGCTGGACTGTGCAGTACATTACATCCTCCAGTCGAAAATAAAGCAGAAGGCACTGGGGTGCAGCTGCTGACTCCAGACTCTTGGAATATACCGCTAGCAGATGCTCGGAGAAAAGCCCCATCCCCAGCGTCTGCAGCTGGCCAAATTCAAGGTCCTGGACCATCAGCGTCTACCACTGCCTCTCCGTCTGACACTGCCAACTGCTCTGTCACTAAAATCCCCACGCCAGTTCCCAAACCTATTCCCATCAGTGAGAATCCAAATATTCCACCAGTTTCTGTCCAGCCACCTGCTAGCATTGTGCCTCCAATTGGTGTCCCACCTCGCAGTCCTCCCATGGTGATGACAAACCGTGGGCCAGTTCCTCTGCCCATATTCATGGAACAGCAAATTATGCAGCAAATCCGTCCACCATTTATTCGTGGGCCGCCTCACCATGCCTCAAATCCTAACAGTCCTCTTTCAAATCCAATGATTCCTGGCATCGGTCCACCACCAGGTGGTCCCAGAAATATGGGCCCCACCTCCAGCCCCATGCACCGGCCGATGCTTTCCCCCCATATCCATCCCCCTACAACACCTACTATGCCTGGGAATCCTCCTGGCTTGTTGCCACCTCCCCCTCCTGGAGCTCCTTTGCCTAGTCTTCCCTTTCCCCCTGTCAGCATGATGCCAAATGGTCCTATGCCTATGCCACAGATGATGAACTTTGGACTGCCATCCCTTGCCCCACTGGTGCCACCCCCAACTCTACTAGTGCCATATCCTGTCATTGTCCCTTTGCCCGTTCCCATCCCCATTCCCATCCCCATCCCTCACATCAATGACTCCAAACCCCCCAATGGCTTCTCCAGCAACGGGGAAAGCTTCATTCCAAGTACCTCCAGTGAGACGCCTGGGGCAAAGCCAACCAATAGCTCTTCATCCCCTCGAGAGTCAAAGCAAGGATCATCTAAATCCTCTGACTCATCGCCGAGCTGCTCAGGCCAGTCCCTTAATCAAGCTCAAGTGCTTCAGGAGCACAGTAAAAATGAAGTTGTTGACTTGACTGTCAGACCTAGTAGTCCAGTGAACAGTAAATTTGGTTTCCCCAGTGTGCTACAGGGCCCACAGGATGGTGTGATAGACCTAACAGTAGGCCACCGGTCTAGGCTGCACAACGTTATCCACAGGGCTTTACATGCCCAAGTGAAAGTTGAACGTGAACCTAACAGTGTTGTAAATTTGGCTTTTGGTAGCTCAGACAAAAGGAACTGCAGTGACTGCAGGGACAACTGCAGCCCAGTTGACTCAAAAACGTTACCGTGCAGTGATGGAGCTCACTGCTGTCCTGTCTCCTTGGCCTCCGGCACGCCGGGACTGGAAGCTGGCGCAGCGGTGTGCAACGTCATTGTGAATGGCACAAAGAGCACGGAGGGTTCCAAGAACCCAGAGCCTCCCCAGGAGCCCAAAAAGCCTCAGCCCCCGGAGGAGCTGGCAGTGAGTGAGCTGGAGTCTGTCAAGGAGAACAACTGTTCATCAAACTGCCACCTTGAGGGAGATGCTGGCAAGAAGACCGGGGAGGAGCCCCTTGCCGGGGGAGACAAACAGGACCCGAACCTTAACAATCCAGCAGACGAGGACCATGCGTATGCTTTGCGGATGCTGCCCAAGACAGGTTGTGTGATCCAGCCTGTGCCAAAACCAGCAGAAAAGACTGCTATTGCGCCGTGCATTATCTCAACGCCAATACTCAGCACAGGGCCAGAGGATCTGGAGCCACCATTGAAAAGAAGGTGTCTCCGAATTCGAAATCAGAATAAGTAAAGGTTTGTGTAATCACTACTGCCTTCTGTGTGAATAGAATTGAGTATTTTCAGGTATGAGGTCAAACTCGTGTGGATGTTGTCTTTATGAAACAAAAAAAGATACAAATTCCAATTTATCAGCACTTTCAGAAATCTATTTGTGTTTTAATATTTGTATTGTTTTTACTATTTGTGTTGTATTGCATTTGTACTTGTCAGTACTCCATCCATCAGCAGCCTCATTACACTTTTGCTCACAGAACATTCCGTGATGGTGCTAGCTGTGAAGTTATTGTGCTGTGTATGTCAAAGTCAGTGGTTTTCTGCCTGGAATATGGTTTAGGTTTGGGCCATTAATCTGCTTACTTATTCCAGCTGAGTTACACAGCAACTCAAGCCTTCATGATGATGATTGAAATTGCCCTGCAGCATAGCATAGAGCAGGATGACCCAGCTGCTGCCTGCTAGCTCAGATCCAATGGACTTGACAAATGGTCATCTCCAACCATCATACTTTGCTCTGCCTCCAGACTGCATGCTGGCTTTCTGCTGGGCTGTTCTCTGGGGTCTGAACCCCCTCTCCCTGAGCTTTCCTTCCTTGTGTATTGGTGCTTAAGGACTGCCTGCTGTTTGGGACTTCCCTGCTCTAGTTTATTGCAGCAAGAGTTGTGTCACGGGGCTTTACTTCCTTACCTGAGATATCTGCCTTTGGTGCAAGTCTCCCACCTTAGAAAAGCAGCTGTGGTTTCCCCAAGCCCTGCAGTTGGTATATGTGTGTGGTTCCTGGTAGGGCTGCAAAGCAAGGCAGAGATATGGGTAACTCCACTAACAACCATGGCTTGTCCAAGGACAGTGCTCCAGAGGCAGAAACCCCTCATCCTTCATTCCCAACCCACAGCCTACCGAATCCCTCTGATAAAATAGCATCTTTGCAAAAGTCTTAGTTTAATATATGTCTGATGCTTCAAACCTGTGAGCAAGAAACAAATGTAATTGCATTTGTTTAGATTCACAAGCAAGGAGAACTTCTTTCAGGAAATGGGGAAATGGTGGGTGTTGCAAGAAATCTGTTCAGCAGTAAAATACTGACGGTTTGCCGGATGTGGCTTGGTGATGTGCCAGATTTCATTACAATCCATGGAATATTCTGTAGCCTCCAGTAAATCCCTGTCCCTGGTAGCACAAATAGCGACTGCAGCGGTGCTTGGCACCTACAGCCATAGATAGCAGCAGCATGCTGTGGAATCTGGGCCATTGCAGATCTCCCTGCTCCATCAGTGCAGGCTAATTGCACCATCAAAGATATAGAGTATAGTCAGACTCTGTTTGTTAACACTGCATTCCCTGTGCTGGTTGCAGTGCCAGAAGCATTACTTCCCTTGGTCACAAACAGTATTTATTTACTTTCTTCAGTGGAACACAATCATTATTCTTTGCTCTCAGTATGTGCTGCCACATTTAAAAGATACATTTGCAAGAACAGAGGGTAATTGTAACATTCTTGGACTAATAACCAACATATGCAATAACTCAGAAGTCAAATGAATATTTAAAATCTCTACATGCTCCTAGGTCCTACTAGTCGGGATTCCCTTACCCAACCCTGAGGTATGGATGGACTATATGTCCTCAGTATTGAGCTCTTTATTGCAAACCCCAATGTTACCTTTGGAGCTTGAAAGATTCTCTTCATAAATGTATGCATGTTTCTACCTAAGGGCAGTGATTTGATCTAGTGAGAAGGCCACTATTTGGCTGTGTCCTTTTTATTTCGTTTTAGAAGAGCCATGGTTAACCCTTCCTTTCCCACTTGGTTAAAGCTCCTCATAGCTGTTTGTTTCAAGCCAGTGCTAGGAGACTTGCACATTTGTGTGCTTACATTGTAGTGAAAGACAGGCTGGTTCTTAGCAGCTATTTCTGCTTGCGTGGACCATCCAGGCTGCAGCAATGCCACCTCTCCAAGGTCCCAATCCCAAGAGGAGTTTAGTGTCATTCAGAGTCAGAGCTTAAAAACTCGGAGAGGGTTCTGGCTGCACCAGGTTGTACATTTTTGCATATTGACGTGATTATACATGACAACATTTCACAGATAGTATTTGACAAAGTGAGCAAACTGAACAAGCTGCATCGGAAAGACAAGAAGAATGTTTTGTCACTTAGTTACTGTCCTCAGCTCTTTGTATTCTCTAAATGTCAATAACTGCCACTGTGGTTATTCTCAGGAATATCCATTTTTTGATTCATTTAGAGTTTTACGTATTGCTTTGTCTCAGTATTAAGGTTGTCTTACAGGAAAGTTTTCACGTTGCCAGGCAAGATTGATCTGACCCAGTACAGACATGTGGAACGAAGACACAGCTGAGCTAATTGTCTAAACTCTATTTAAATCAACCTAGAGAAGAAGGCACTTCAAAGAGACAGCTGAGCTCAGCCTGAAGTCAACAACTAAGACAGCTCAGATGAATTGTGCCCTAGGAGTCCCTATTTCTCCCCACTGTGAAGAAAACTTAGGGTGACTGGCACAGACATGGATGTCCCCAAAGACATTGAAAGTTTAAAAGTCCAGCCTAGGCATCTGCCATACCTCTGGGGTTTGTGCAATAGCATAGCATGGCACAGTGATGGTAATTAGTCAGTCTGTGTTTCTTTCTCCGGAAAAAGAAAAGTAGCCTCTATGCAGAAGAGTTGTGAGACCAGGATCCTTACGTGCTTCAAGGGACAGAGGATACCCAGAATACTCTGCAGAAATAAACTGCATGGTAACCATCTCATTCCAGTGGGTACCTCAGTGAAATGTGGATGGGTTTTGAACCTCTCAAGGCACGCACAAGTGATTTGTGCAGCTCTGATGATTGATTTGAGGTGAGGACTCTGTGGTTTCATGCAGAGTCCTCCTTTCACTGTTGCTGGTCATAGCCAGTCTGGGGAGCAAGAGGGCTGCTTAGATTTCTGCCCTCCCTGCCTGTGAAGACTGCACAGGGCTCAGAGCCTGCCTGTGTCTATACAGAGGGGCCAAGCAGGGGGAGGAGAACCTCTTGCATCACAGCCCTGACCTCTATTGTACCCAGGGATTCGTTCCTCCTGCCCAGGCCTAGGGAAGCAAATTCCTGCTCCTTCAGCAGCCTGGTTGTGGGGAAGATCCCCCCAAGAGATACACCCAACCTCATAGAAATTCTAATAAGATACAAAGGGGGTAGGAGCTGTACTAATAATTGTATTGACGTGAGCCCTTGGAGGTTTGTATCGATTGCACTGGCCACACTAATGTGGGAGAAGAAAAAGTCCAGTGTATTGTCTTTTTCCCTCTTGCTTCTCACCTACCCTAATTGGAAAATTTGAACATATTGCCCTAATGTGTAACTTTTTCTGGATTTTATTTCCTATCAAATTGTATGACAAGAAGGAAATTAGCCAAATATTTTTACGGTAGAGTTCTGGACAGACAGATTGAATTCATGTAATAGCAACATGGACTCTCTAAAAGGGAATCAATGCAAGCGTGACCTTTTCAGGCGAGTTGCCAAACTCTGGGTTATTTAATGTACCAATTACTTGATTATTGGAAGTGCTAATCAGCAACATAATCCTTGATTTTAAAGTTTAGTCTCCCCATCAGGATGTGAACTGTCAAGCTGTTGTAGCTTGATGCAATTTGAAGAACCAGCAAAAGGTGTCTCAGTGCCAAAGTCCTACTATGATAAAGGAATGAAGCTAGGAAGAATATTCTGTTGAGTGTTATTTTTTCAAGTCTGAGCAACGCGAGTTTCTAAAATTAGCAGTGTTAGTGTTGCCTGCCTACATGCTTTATGTCCTGGTGGGATCAGCTTTTAACCCTTCAGCTTTGATGTCAGGGTTTCCTAAAGCAAATAAATGAAAACAGTGAGGTCTGCTTGGATTTAACATGATAGTTATGATAAACTAAATTAGAAAATTAAGTGGCACATGCTAAACTCACAACTAGCTTCTGTGTGTGTGTGTTGAGTAATCCTGTGTCGGGGACAGAGGGGTAAGAAAAGGAAGGAGTTTTTCTGCTTGTGCCTGCAGAATTTCTCCCAGAAGTAATGGAAACAGTAGGTGTATGGCCACCTACAGAGCCAATGTGTATGTCCTGGGGTCAGCATCTGCTGAGTTATAGGCCCAAGCCTCCAGCTGCCTAGTCCATGCATTGTAGTCATAAAAATATACAGCATGAAGAACACTCCAGTTCAGAGCAGAAGTAATATATACCCCACTGTGAGCTCCTCTGCCCATAATGGTCCAGCACAAGATTTCCTGCTCTGGTCAGGATTCCTGAGGCAAGGGGCATAGCTATTAACCTCCTTTTCTGCCCTAAGAGTTTTTATTTCTCCCCTGTCACTGAAGCATCTGTCTACTAACATCTCACCTTGCCCTGCTTACTACGATCAGGACAGAATTTGACCTTAAATGTATACTTGAAAACAGATTTTCTATATTTAAACACATTTCTATGTTAGTCGTCCTTGTTGACACAGTACTATGGGCCAGAGCATTAGCTAATTTTAACTGGATGTAGTTCCACTGATGCTAAACTAATTTAAATCAGCAGAGTAATTGGACTCATACACTTAACACCTACTCTTCTGCTTCAGAAGTTTTCCTTCACCTGGCTTCTTATGAGCCTACAGAAATTTTCCATTTATCCAAAGTGGGAGAGGAGAGACTGTTAACACCACAAAGCCTTAAACACATTTGCTGGGAACTGAAGCTTTGCCCTTGAGAGCTGCCTGACTCTAGCAGTGCGATCTTATGTTTCAAAATTGCCTGTGGATGTTCTCAGATATATTAAATCAGAAAAAGGATTTCCCAGGGAACAAATAAAAAAAAAAAAAAGTCAAGAAAAAAAAAGTTCTCAAAATGGTGAAGTATAAAATGACATACTTCCAGGGTGGCTTTCAGCTCCCACGTCTTGCTGCCGGGGTGTGGGAGTGCTAAGTTCCGTCTCGGTGGCAGTAAATAGCAGGCTCATGGTACACTGCCGTAGATCGCTGCACACTCTTTGA